TACTAGAGTGAGCTAATAGATATGCAGGCAGATGCACACAGGCTCTTTTCCACACATCAGTTGCTTTTTTTTTTTTTTTTTAAGAGTCTTAAAGTTCCAATGTGAGCAACGGCGTCATGAAATTAATTTGTCACCGGTGCCAGCCTCGGCTGACTCACAGCCTGAGAAGGAGTTTCTGGAAGTGTTTCTCATCTATGTGCTAATTTCTCTTCCCTTCTCAGCAACCTTCTTTCTCTCGAGCTTGTAGGTGACAATCACCTTCGGGTCAGTGGTACCTGTACTTCCTCCTGTCTCCACTGAGTAGGTGATTTCCATCTCAGGGACCAGGAGAGGGAACACACACACACACACACACACACACACACACACACACACACAGGCAGACAGACATGCATATATACACACACACATGCACACAGACATATACATAGACACATATACAGAGAAACACACATACACAGAAACATATAGAAACACACAGACACACTCAGAGCCATAGACACACATGCACACACACACATGCACACACATAGACACACACACACAGAGACATACACATAGACACACACACACACAGACATACACATAGACACACAGAGAAACACAGATACATACGCACAATGAACCGAATCGTGCATCCTTATATCCCTTAACCCTGAAGGGGGTTACAAAATTTCCCCTTCTCAGTGGCTCAGCAGTTGAGAGCATGGGCCGCTCTTCCAAAGGACTTGGTTTCGATTCCCAGCAGCCGCATGGTGACTCACAACCGTTTGTCCCTCCAGTTCAGGGGTGGGGGTGGGGTGTGGTGTCCCAACATCTTCTGACTTCCTCAGGCACATCACACACATGGTACCCCCCACACAACAAAACACTCATACACATAATGAACATAAAATCTAAAACACCCTTGCTATCGGGATGCTATTTCGAGAAGTCCTTATAAACCCGGCATGCGTTGAGTGGCCAGGACCATCCTGTGGCTGGACCGGCAGTGGTGAATGAAATGGGCAGAAGCCTTGCCACCATGGGGCTTGTGTTTTAGTGTTCCTGTCGGAAGAGATTTTCAGTAAATAAGTGAACTGGCAGGCAGTCTGCCGAGGAACTAACTAGAGGGGACACAGGGAGTCCTGAGAATAAGAATTTAAAACAATGCGGCCAGGGAGGACCTCACCAAACCTGTCCTTCCAGGATCACCTGAAGGAGAGGATTCAGGCAGGTGGGTCTCAGTGGGGTCCTGAGGGACAAGTGCAGCTGCTGTCCTGTGGGACAAGTATATGGGTGTGGCCGGGCCAGAGAGGGAGGGGCTTCTCTTCAGAGTGGGGAACCTTGGAGGGCCTCAACAGCATCACCGCCTTGAGGGGAGACCAGGGGAAGGCCTGGAGGAGGCAGGCAGAGCGGGGAGGGGACAGAGCTCAGCCCTGGGTGGGACTAGTAACAAGGAGTGGCTGGACTTTTACAGAAGGAATTGGATCCGGAGAGTGACAAGAAGAGAGGCAAGGTGACCCCACAGCACCGGCCCTGAGCAGGCTGGCCATGAGCTGGTGAGGAGGACAAGTGGGGAGTCAACCGTGGGTGGACTCGGCTTTGTACTTAGAGCGTGAGGCTTAGGAGGTGTGGGATTTCACTTTAGGTGGAGAAGTCTGGCAGGGAAGGGGTGTTGCTGGACCTGTCTTTTGTAGGTTTCCATTTGGGGAGATTGGAGCACGGAGTCAGTGGGTCTCGTTGAGACTTGGGTCAAACGAACTGCTCTAAAAGCACAGTGAACTAGCTAGGCACTGAGTTTAGTTCCTATATTATGTCTACGGGCATTTTTTGACTCAGTCTGAGAACTGTTTCCCAGCACCAATGATGCATGCTAGTTAGCTCTATGCCCGATATATGCTCACATCAGGCCCGCGCTGAAAGGGTAGCTCAGTAGTCCTCCAGCAGCTGGACTGAGATGGAGCGTGCTCAGATCTGAGAGTCTATGGGCAAAAGTGCTCAGAGCATTCCCTTTTCACTAGATCGATGCTAAACTAATGACCAGTACAGTACAGACTCTGCATATAATGAAACAAGTTAAAAAGTTCAGAATCTTTACCCATGACATTCTGTTTCCATTATTGTGGTAAAATAGAAAATATGAAAATGGCTGTAGTTTTTCCAAGGTGATTTCCCCCTCCTTCCTTCAGAAATAGGTACCGAGTGCAGATATTAGTAGTATATACTAAGCAAGTGTCTTCCCATAGCCAAGCTTGTTTATGGGAGGCGGCTGTAATATTATCAAGATCACATAAGTTTTCCCTCAGGAAAATGCTAGAATCAGGTATGACCATCCAAATTCACTTAGTTTGTCCTCAAAAAAAAAAATGCTTGAATTAGTGTTGAGTACTGTCTTCGTTAGGGCTTCTATTGTTACAACAAAACACCATGACCAAAAAGCAAGTTGGGGAGGAAAGGGTTTGCATTTCCACATTGCTGTTCATCACCAAAGAGAGTCAGGGCAGGAACTCAAGCAGGGCAGGAACCTGGAGGCAGAAGCTGAGGCAGAGGCCATGGAGGGGTGCTGCTTACTGGCTTGCTCCTCATAGTTTGCTTAGCCTGCTTTCTTATAGAACCCAGGACTACCAGTCCAGGGGTGGCACCACCCACCATGGGCTGGGCCCTCCCCCACCAATCACTAATTAAGAAAATCCCTTACATCTGGATCTTATAGAGGCATTTCCTGGAGTCTCCTCCTCTCTGATGACTCTAGCTTGTGTCAAGTTGACACACAAAACCAGCCAGTACAACTACATATAACACTAAGCAAATGAATTAAATAGTCCAACTATTAATTCCAGAGAACATAAGTTATCCAGAAGAGAAAAATGTAATCATAGTATATACTATTATCTCAGCTCTGAAGAGAGTCCATAAAACCACAGCCATAGAAACAGTAATTAGTGAGGAAATAGAAATCTATTCAAAAATATATAGCACAAAACGGAAGAGAGGAGAGGATGTGTGGGAGAGAGAGATAGATGGATGGATAGATTGATGGGCAGATAGACAGACAGAGAGACAGACAAATTGTAGGCAGGCAGCTAGAAACCCAGGGGCTGGAGAGAAAGAAAGTGTATGTGTGTGGTAGAGACAGCCAAATCCATTTTTTTTCCTGCTAGGAAGATAATAATGAAAAGCCAGGAACTAGCAGTTAAAAAACAGGTTATGTAGAGAGGTATATGCACGTAACACAGAGGTCAGTTGAAAACGCTAAGCGTCAGTAGGCCACTGTTTCATACAGTAGAGCTCACAACGCTGACCAGACACTGGTCATGAAAATAGTAAAGGTTGATGAAAAAGATTAACAGCAAACCCTAACTGAAGGGGCACTGTGGGGGGTCTGGCCAGGAGAGGCTTAGGGGTGCCATCCCTGGTCATCTTTTCCCTACGTGTTTGGCTTCTACTGTTTTGGTCTCTGTGCCCGATGGTGTGGAGAACTGGGTTGGGATGGGAAGTAGGTGGCGTGTTGACTCTTGGCATCAGGTTGTGTCTCTGAGGTTAAAATTCCTTAGTTTGGACCAGATCCCAAGCGCTTCAGGGTTGTCTTGGAGGGCATCCATCCTCCTGTCTCTGAGTCTTGGAGGACTTGGGAGGTGACATTTTGGCCAGCACTCTTTTCTGGAGCTTCTCTGCTGCTACCCAGTCCTGACTCTGCCGGGCTGCCCGCAATGGTCACATGCCCGCCTTCAGCATCCCCCCCACCTCACCTGTCACAGGTGTGTCTCTAGAGCGGAGAGGCTGACAATGGTTGGCTCTGAACACAGGTGGGAAGCCACACTGCTCAGGCCATACCCTCTGTTCCCTGGGCAAGGGTACCTGGTCAGATGGGGCTGACCAAGCACCAGACTGTATTAACAGATGGAAAAATGTGATTCTGTAAGGTTGGAGGGGATGGTGTAGGTGTAGGAGGAAGCTGTGGAGAACTGTGCCAGCCCAAGTGAAGGGGGACCAAGGACTTTGAAAAGCTGGGTGGACAGGCGCCTGGGTGGGTGCTCAGCTCAGCTTCAGGGAAATGCTGCCTCCCAGCTGGTTGTGAAAGGAGTTCCCTATTCTTCCTCTCTCTTTTTTTACCATATGGTATGGAAAATTCAAATATATGTTGAATAGTCAGTCAACTTTCATATACCAGCTTCCACCTTGAGCACCTCATAGTCAGTTTAATTTCATCAGTAGCTTACTTACTTCCCTCATTGGGGATTGTTTAAACTAGATCTCAGACACTATTTTAAAATATTTTAATTATATACCAATTACATGTGAAATTACATGAGTTTCATGATATTTTCACATTTGTTTTTTGTGTGTATGTGTGTTTGTGCGTGTGTGCCCACGAGCATGCGCCAGAGTGCTTATGTGGAGGCCAGAGGGAAACTTTCAGGAGTTGGCTCTCTCCTCCTACTGGGTGGGTACCAGGGACTGAACTCAGGTCACCAGGCTTGGTGGCAAAGCATCTTTATCCATTGATCCATCTTGCTGGCCTGTGACTGGCTCTTAATGACCCCACTAACCAAATGAGTGAATTAGCCCCTTAATGGATTCCTGAAATCACGGCGTTATTGGGAGGTGGTGAAAAGTAGGAGGTGGGACCTTAGCTGGAGGAAGCAGACCACAGGGGTCGTGTCTTTGGCTGTGTCTTGTCCAGGCTACTTCTTTGATGCCCCTCCCCCTGTTCTCTGTTTCCTGGCCACATGCTATGAGCGGCCCTGTTCTGCCACAGCCTCTCTGCCATGGTATGGAGATACCTGAAACTGTGACACAGAATATATATATTCTGTGTATATATATATTATATATACATTATATATACATTATATATAATATAATATAATATAATATAATATAATATAATATAATATAATATAATATAATATAATATAATATAATATAATATATGTATATATATCTCCAGTACTTGAGAGATAAAAGCAGGTGGATCTCTGAGTTTGAGGCTGACCCAGTCTACATTATGAGTTTCAGGCCAGCCAGGGTTACATAGCAAGACCACAAAAAAAAAAAAAATCTATATTGTCCTGGTTAGTTTTTCGCCAATTTGACACATGCTCATATCATCTGGGAAGAGGTAACCTACCTCTATTGAGGAAATGCCCCTGTCAGATTGGTCTGTAGGCAAGCCCATGGGGCATTTTCTTGATTAATTATTAATATGGGAGGGCCCAGCCCACTGTGGGTAGTGCCACCCTGGTCTGGTGGTCCTGACTTCTATAAGAAAGCGGCTGGGCAATCCATCAAGTAGAAGCCAGTAAGCAGCTCCCCTCCATGACCTCTGCATCAGCTCCTGCCTCCAGGGTCCTGCTTTGGATTCCTGCTCTGACTTCCCTTCATTATAGAGTACAATTGTAGACTGAAATAAACCCTTTCTCCCACAAGTTGCTTTTGGTTATAGTGTTTAATCATAGTAATCGAAAGCAAACTTGGAATGTATTAATTAGCTAATTTGTTAGTATGTGAGTGCGCGCGCGCGTGCGTGTGTGTGTGTGTGTGTGTGTGTGTGTGTGTGTGTGTGTGTGAGGGCATGTATGCCACAGTGCTCATGTGAACATCAGAGGACACCTCCATGGAATTGGTTCTCTTCTTCCTTTCCTGTGGGTTCTGGAGTTTGAACTGATTGCTAAGCTCAAGTCACACATACTTTTTATTTTATTTTTTTAAACCTACTGAGTGCTTCTTGCTGACACTTTTTTCTTTTTTCTTTTTTTGACATGGTCTCAGGTAGCTGAGCCTGGTCTCAAACTTACTGTATAGCTGAAGATGACACTGAATTTCTGAATTTTCTGGCTCTCATCTCTCCACTGCGGGGGTTCCAGGCATGTACCACCACATCTAGCTTAAGCCTTTTCTCCTTTAAGTAGGGAGGAAGTCAGGTGATTTGGTCACTGTGGTATAAAAACCTGACTCTGTTCCCCCCACCCCCACCCCCTATGCGTAGGTCCATATAGAATAAACAGAAGACAAACAGAATGCTTCGAGAAATACTTCCTAAAGTCCAAAAGGAACCTGAGTAGAACTGCAGAGCCAGAAGTGAGCCTGAAACTCTTAGCCTGTGCATGAGGCCTGTGGACTGTCACCTTCTGAAGGGAGGGATGGAGCCTTAGCTGTGTACATCCCCGCCCCCCCACCCAGTCACAAGGCTGGTACCCACCTTGTCTGCAGCTGTGGTTTGAACTAAAAAGGCCATTAAGAAGCAGTTCATTCACCCTGTGGAAGAGCATAGTTCAGGAGTTAGAGTCATCCGTTGAGAGCCCTTCCCTGGGCAGGGCTTGTGTGGGGCTGGAGCCAGCTTTCCTACGGCTTCCTTATTTCAGCGCCTTTCTGGGACTTGAGGGATTTAGCTCTGTCACAGGGTGGGTAAGGACACAACCGGAAGTCTCCAGCATGCCTGGCCTCTGTTCCACGAAGTCTCTTCTACCACACTGCAGCTGCGTGACTTCGCTCCCCCCACCCCAGCTTATCACTCCAAAGTCCTGAGCAAATGAGATGCTGCCCACAGAGCTCACTGCCCAGCTCCTTAGCTATGGGCCAGCCCTTCCTGGCAAGCCTGAGGACTTGAGTTCAATCCCCAGAACTTGGCACAGTGGGTGCTCTTAATCCAGGTGCTAGAGAGGTGGAGGCAGGTGGATCTTGGGGAATGGATGGTCAGCCAGCGCAGCCTTCTTGGTGAGCTCCAGGCTAATAAGAGACCCTGTCTTAAAACATTCTCTCTCTCTCTCTCTCTCTCTCTCTCTCTC